TCTGATCTGGGCACATGGCCAGGTTTGATTCGGGAACGCTCTGGTGGGCCACCGTGTAAACAAGCCATGCTTGGGGAGCAGCTTGAGACCAGGAGAGATACCAGGTTTGCTTGTACGAGGCAGACCCCTGGGCCCTCTGAAGATGGGGGCTTAGAACCTGCATTTCAAGGAAGAACCCTGGAATTCTTAATGCACTTTAAACTTGAAAACTGCGACATTAGAGGAAAGATCTTCTGATCTGACGTTCATCAGTTTGACTCCTACACCCACCAGTTAATATCCACCTGGCCCGAGCAGCTTGTTTGTCTAAGCCTCAGTTTTCTTGACCCCCGAATGGGAGTAACAGCCCTCCCACGTGCTGCGGGAGTGAGACGTCTCAGTGTGTGTGAAGCTCCCTGCCACGGTCTGTGCTGGTGAATGGTGGCCGTTGTCGCCAACAGCCGTCTCCCCTGTGCAGGAGGCGGGGAAAGGAGGCGGAAACTGACAGTGGCCAGTCCGCACTGCCGCCCTCAGAAGCATCGTAGTAATCGTATTTTAATGGTTTCTCATTTTTTTAACTTTTTTTTGAAGTGTAGTTGATTTACAGTGTTGTGTTATTTTCTGGTGTACAGCATAGTGATTCAGTTATACATATATTCCTTTTCATATTCTTTTTCGTTATAAGTTACTACAAGCTATTGAATATCATTCCCAGTGCTACACAGTAGAACCTTGCTGTTTATTTCTTTTATATATGGGAGTAGTCTGTGTCTGTTCATCCCAATCTCCTAATTTATCCCTCCCCCTCCTTTCCCCTTTGCTCACCGTAAGTTTGTCTCAATGCATTTGCAAGTGTAGATGGAAATATCATAATTTATTCTAATGTATGCTAAGGCTCTCTTTGGTATTTTAAGAGAGTCAAGATTGTACTTATTTATAATATATATTTTAAAAAATTTTTAATAGAGGTGCTGAGGATTGAACCCAGGACCTCGTGCATGCTAAGCATGCACTCTACCTCTGAGCTATACCCACCACTCCATGTTTTTTAAAGTAGATGCTAGATGAGGGGAAATCCATTCTCTGTCCTTTTCTATCTTCTAGAGGCTGTCTGCACCCCTGGGCTCAGACCCCCCTCCCATACTCAAAGCCAGGTAGGTCCTGGTGAGCCTTTCTCCCATCACATCGATCCAACACTCTTTTCCCTCGCTTTTCCACCTTTAAGGACCCTTGTGATTGAACTGGCCCAGCTGGATAATCCAGGACAGCTGATCAGCAACCTTAATTCCCCTTGGCCATGAAAGGTACCATAGTCACAGATTCCAGAGATTAGCACGTGGACATCTTTGGAGGGGGCCGTTGTCCTGCCTACCACAGGTGGGAGGGAAGTTACGCTGTGTTTGGCTGGGTTGCCCACTGTGTAAATGGAAAGTTTTCTATTTACCTATTTAAATATGTAATCCCCTTTCTAGTCTATGTAGTCATCACAGTGGAGAGGCAAAATGCTCCCTACTTAAATGCAATGTGTTCTTCTATCATGACTTATGAACCCTAATTTGATTGCTTTCATGATGGAGCAATTTTGTGGGAAAATAAGTTTTAATCGTGAACAAGTAAATTGGGTACAGCTAATGACAGTCTCATCCAGTAGATATAAATTTAGTTCCTATTTAATATTTTTACTTATTTTCTCCTATCCATCTCAGGGTTTTTTTAAATAAAATTCAATGTAGATTTAGTTTTTATAGTTACTACGGAGATTGCTTCCCATCATTCTTTCATCTTAGAAAAATTCACAATTCAGCAACTACATTTTTGCAGTGTCAAAACCACGGCGGATTATAACACTTTCAAGTGGTACACGGTGTTCTCACATGAGACAATTTGCCTGAATATGTGGGCATGTCCACTCTTTCTCTTATTGTGACTCAACAGGATGTGTAAGAAAGAAAATTCTAAGCAGGTGAAAACAAGTTCCTTAACAAACATACCTTTCTCAAGAGTTTAATGTTATGATGGGTGAGAATGAGTTCCAGTGAGTCATGCCTCAGAGCAGCAATTTGCGATACACAGCATCTGTGAAAAGAGCATTCTCAGAGTCTGCTTGGCCAGCTGTGTCGGGGGTCCCAAGACCACCCTCAGGCTCAGTGATTCTCTGGAAGGACTCCCTGGACTCAAGAACTTGTGGTTTATTCCAGTGAGAGGACAGAGACAGAGGCCATCGGGGGCAAAAGGCACGTGGGGCGAAGTCCGAGAAAAACCAGGCCCAAGTTTCCAGGAGTTCCCTCCTCCCAGTGGACTCAAAGTGGGGCACACTTAATTCTCCCAGCGACAGCATGTGATGATGACAGGTGCAAAGTACTGGCAAGCAGAGAAGCTCACCTGAGCCTTGGTATCCAGGTTTCTACTGGAGTTGCATGGAACTACAATGTCCGCATGACCAATCTTAGCTACTCAGGCTCAGGTCCGAAGAGAGCAAACTGATCCAGCGTGGCCCAGGGCCTCAGGCATACAAAAACGCTCTAATAAAGCAGGAAGTTTCCATGGCTTAGAGATAAATTCCAGGGGCTGGTCACGGGCCAGTCCTCCTGAAGACGCGCCTTTCTTTGAAACATGCGGGGTTTGGACAACTCAGGTCTGCAGAGTTACCCCCTTCAGTGCCCAATAGGAGATAGTGGCAGGTGACCTACATCACATGGACGTTATAGGAATTGAACAGTCAAGTGCCTTAAAACATGAGAAGATATGTAAATATTCCATAATGATACCTGATTTCAAAAAGAAAGAGTAAATTATATCATTCTCTCAAGCAGTAATCAAATTATGAAACTAAACAGTTGAATAGGTAGCTGGGTAGGTAGATGGGTGGCGATTTGCGCAGCCCACCCAGAAGCCGCCAAGGTCTGCTGACAACGGGGCCAGCTTTGCCGTGATGCTGGTGGACATCATATTATTAGGACAGTAAAACTGACACTTCCAGGAACCAGATGGAGCATGTCTTTCCCATATTTTTCTGGGCTCCTTAGATGCTGGGGCTCCTGATACAGGCAGAGAATCTGCCACAAGCATAGCCAGTCTCCATTTAAGCCTGAAAAAGGATATTTTCGAGATGTTGTAAGTTAACCCCCACCCAGGTTATACATTACACACTACCCTCCTGATCTGATCCCTTCCACCCAGCTCTGCAACAAGTTCAGCAAGAGAGGAAGAGGAAGAGGCTTTTGATGCTGACCATCTGATGCTCAAAGAATCACCGTTCAGTCCTTATCATCTTTGTGTTAGCTCAGGTGCTGTAAAATACCCCAGACTGGGTGGCCAAAACAACAGAATTTGTTTTCTCACGGCTCTGGAGGCTGGACATCCAAGACTGAGGTGTTGGCACAGCTGGTTTCTCAGGAGGCCTCCCTCCTTGGTCCCAGATGGATGCTTTCTTGCTGGGTCCTCACATGGCCTTCTTATGTGCCCCTCCCTGGTGTCTCTCTCCTCCTGAGGACCCCAGTCCTACTGGACTAGGATACCACTCTTATGACCTCATTAACCTTAATTACTAAGTGAACGTTAATCACTTCTTTAAAGTCCTTATCTCCAAATACAGTCACATTGGGGGTTAGTGCTTCAGCGTTTCAATTTGAGGGGCACACACTTCCGTGCAGAACAGTCTTCTTAATATTTCATGATCAACACCACCACCAGTTAAGCCACAGAATCCCGGAACTCTTCAACCACTCCGCCCTTTCAGGCCCCTGATGACAACTGAGTAGCAAAAGCACCACTGTGTCAGCGAGGGCTTACTGCATGCCAGGTGCTACCCTGATCACGTTATGTTACTTCATGCATTTAACCCTCACAGAAGGTTGCCAGGGGGCCAAAGGAACCGCACCCCTCTTCCAGCCCCATGGTCTAAACCAGAAGTTGGCATATTTTTACTGTAAAGGACAGATAGTAAAATTTTGGGATGTTACAGGCCATCTAGTTTCTCATTTTTTAATTGAGATATAATTGACATACATAATGTCATATTCATTCAGGTGCACAACATATTGATTCAATATTTGTGTACATTGCAAAATGATCACCACAGTAAGTCTAGTTAACATCCAGCACCACATGTAGTTACAGAACTTTTTTTTCTTGTGATGAGAACTTTCACGGTCTACTCTTTTAGCAACTTTCAAATATGCAACACAGTATTATTAACTGTAGTCACCATGCTGTACATGACATGCCCAGGACTTGTTCGTTTTATAACTGGAAGTTAGTTCCTTTTGACCCCCTTCACACATTTCGCCCACTCCACCCTCACCTCTGGCAACCCCATCTGTTCTCTGTATCCGCAAGTTCATTTTTTGTTGTTGTTTCTTTGGGGTTTTCTAGATTATCACAGATAAGTGGGATCATGCAGTATTTGTCTTTCTCCATCTGGCTTATTTCACTTAGCATGATGCCCTACAAATCCATCCACATTGCCACAAATGGCAAAGTTTCATTAATTTTTATGGCTGAGTAATATTCCATTGTGTATATATGTATATCATATCTTCTTTATCCGTTCATCTGTTGATGGGCACTTAGCTCACCTTGTTCTGATAGTGATGTCTGAACACCTTTACCTTGGCCACCTCTGGATCTAGGCAGATGCACTGCATTACTCCAGGGGCAGCATTCATCATATCTTAAGTGAGTGATGCCCCCTGGAATTGTGCAGAGCAGCAACACGACTGTGGACAGTGGCTCCTGATGGCGGTCTTACAAAGCCTAGCCCCGGCCTGGGCACTCTTGACTGGGGTACCTCCGATGTTACCTACCACCCCAAGGATGCAGACTGGACGTCCAGCCTACACAGACACACCTGTCATACTGCCTGTGCCAAGGCATTTTAAAGTAATGACAGAAAATGTAAAAGTCTGAAGGAGAGAACCAGCAATGTGAACTCTATTTTCTATTTTTAATAAAATCCTTAATATTTCCAGCCAATGTCCTACCATTGTTTTAACATCTAAAAAAATGTTCTTCAAATGCAGAAAAAATATCGTTGACCCAGAAGACCCCCGCTGTGCCCGGTTGACGCTCACTGGCCAGATGATCGCAGTGTCTCCAGAAGAAGTAGAGTTTGCCAAGCAAGCCATGTTTTCAAGGTTGGTGTGTGCTTTAAGATTGGTTATGGTTACCAGAGGGTAAACGGGGTGGGAGGGGACACACTGAGAATTCAAAACCAGCACCTCTGGGGGAGTGATGGAAATGTTAGCTGTCCTGACTGTGGTGGTGGTGGTTTCATGGGTGTCTACATCTATCAAAATTCATCACATTGTACATCTGAAATATGTGTCGTTTACTGTACAGGAACCAGACCACAATAAAGGTGTTTAAAAAAAAAAGATTGTTTTGCCCAGAAACATGCAATAATAAAAAGCAGGGGTCAGAGCTGTGCCACTGACACCTCGAAGGTGATGACAGTAGTGGCCTGAGCTGTAGGTCCTGGTTGCCCGAGGTGGCAGTAGATGCCAGGCAAGTGGCCTTGCGGTGGCTGTCCCTGTCTTTGGAGAGCGCCCCGCACTGAGGGGTTCCAGACACGATTCCCTGCATACTTCCAGCCTTTTACAATGTCCCACCTAGAAATGAAAGTAACAGAGGTTTTGGAGTCTGGTCATCACACCAGATCTTTCCAAATGTTCACCCTAAGCAAAACTCGGTGCCTGAAGTGACGGCAGTGTTTCTCTGTGCGGGCCCCTCGCCCCTTACATCTGAGTCACTTAGGGTGCAGCTTTCCACCCCAACCCACTTCCTGAATCAGGTTCTCTAGGGGTTAGACACATCCCAGGAAGTAGCATGCAGGCTTAAGTTTAAGGAGCACTGCTGTTGGGGTCAAAACGAGTGCGGGGGCAGCCCAGTGTGGGTGAGTGGGAGGAGATCGGAGTTTGCAAAAGGTGAGAAGGGTGGCCCCTCAGGGGTGCTGGCGTCTGTCTCTGTGGATGAGGAGGGGGCCCGTTCCAGGGGGAGGCCTGGGGGGAAGGTCAGAGCTGGGGCAGGGCGTGGCGGGCATGCACACAGGGGTGTGGGCAACGGAAATGGCAGATGAGCCCTTATTCAAGTTGGTGGAAGGGCAACGGGAGAGCAGGTGGTGACTCAGACAGGCCATCGGCAGCCCCACGGAGAGGGCCGTTGTACCCACGGGGGACCATCAAACAAGCAAGCAGTGCGAAGTCCACGTAGGGAGAGGAAGCCTGGTGTCTCACCGCCGTGGAAGAGAGTTTCCAACGCACACGGGAGGACTCAGTGACTCTGGAGTTGGACTGAGGCTGGATTCATCAGCAGAGATGCGTGGTTTCTAGTAACAGAGAGGGAGACAGACACAGACGGCTGTCTGTGCGCGTGTGGGCTGCGTTTTCCATCTCAGCTTCACTCTCTAGTTCCGGTCTCTCCTCTCACATGTTAGGATGGGTAGTGAGACGAGGCCAGAATCTCAGGAGGCGCTTGGGTTCCTTGAATTCATTGCCTATTTCCCAAGTCACTGTAGGCAACAGTGTTGCCAAACTTTCCACCGCTAGGTAGCCTGGGGTCGCCTTACCACCTACATCCACCCACCTTATCTTGACCTTCTTTTATTTATTTATTTATTTTACTTTTTCATGGGGAGTGATTAGATTGATTTATTATTTTTGGTGGAGGTACCGGGGATGGAACCCAGGACCTTGTGCATGCTAAGCACGCACTCTACCGCTGAGCTGAACCTTCCTCCCGACCGTCTTGACCTGCTTTTAAACCCTCATGGTCAGTCTTCTCAAGGTCCTTCCAGCTTCCACTCACCACCCTGGACCCCAAGGCAGGGCCTCAGACATTAAGGTTTGCTGCACCTCCCACCCCTTTTGCAGGTGCCAAAAATTTGTTGCAGTTATAAATACAAAACTTACTTGCTTACATTTACCACAGTCAAGTTATTCTCTCGGCTGCAAGAGTATTTGGACTGCTGGGGCCTCCGATCAGCAACTTACTTTCAGACGGTTTAGGAAAAAAATAATCATTCTTTACCCTGTACATTCAACTTCTCTGTGAATTTACAATTAAGCCAAAAACATTTTTTTGAAGGTCATCAACCTGTCATTGCGTCTGCATTGTTGCACACGTCTTTCCCAGATTGCACTTGGCCTTTCAATTTTGTTAGATGTCAATCAAATTTTTATTTTTTTGAGGTTTAAAAACAAGTCAGCCACAGCCCCTGCCCTCAGGGACAACGCACGTGTTTAAGGCCAAGTCCGAAACAGAAGGTGGGATGTTCGTGGCGTGCCCTGTCCACTCGGGCTGGCTCTCAGCTTGGCCCAGCAGTTCTCAGCCTCTACAAGGATGGAAATCATCCCGTGAACACACGTGTTTCCTGGGCTCGCACTTCTTTCAACATTCCCTACAGAGATGCTGAAAGCCCTTTTGTTTTTGGCTTCATGATAACAATGACCTGCGTTCTGTGCCTAATGTTTGCTCCCCACGCAGCCCTAGGATCTGAGCCGCAGCCCTCTCCTCCCACGCAGGCTGTAAGGAGACCAGGCTCGGGGAGCAAAAGGCCTGTGAGGCATCACAGCTCCTCAGCCCAACTAGGGCTCAAACCAGGTTGCCGGGTTCAAGACTTGAACTGTTCGCCACTCTGTGGAGGCGACAATTTCCCGCCCTCCTGAGGCTGTCCCAGATCCCGACCCTGGCTCCCTGGCTTCTGCCTCTGGCTGGTCTGAGCAGGTCTCAGCCCAACCAAGGCCTGGAGTCTGGAGGGCACTCTGACCCGGCCAAGGATACACAGAGTCTGGCCCTGTGCTCTGGAGGGTGCACCCTCTGATAAGAACAGCTTTACTGTGATCTCTTTATTTCTGCAGACACCCAGTGATGAGGAAGTGGCCTCGTCAGTACGAATGGTTCTTTATGAAGATGAAGATAGAACACATCTGGCTTCAGAAATGGTACGGAGGAGCAGCCGACATTTCCAGGGAGGAATATTTCAAAGCAGTTCCAAGAAAGGCCTGATGGAGCACGAAGGCAGTCCTTGATGCTTGCATCGAACGAGAGCCTTTTAAGTGATGCTGCCAGGACAGACAGGAATTGACTGCTGTCTCTTTTGTCGAAGGGTTCACAGCAGAGCGAGAGCAAGTCACCAGTGTCCCCTGTGCTAGACTGGAGATCGAAGTGGCCATTTGCAAATGCCCAGTTCACACGGGTACTTCACATAGTCTGTCTACAGGTGTTCAGTCCAGACTCACCTGGAATCATTGTCAAAGTGACCCACTGAGACAGTTGCTGTTCCATTCTTTAAAAAAAAAAAAAGTATGCCTGTACCTACGATGTGACTGCTTTGTATTGTGAGAGTATCTTTGTTGCTTCTTGTGCCAAATGCTGCGTCCTGGTTCTAAGCTCATTGCAACCACCGAGGAACCAAGGATTGGCCACTGCTGCTTACAAAAAAAAAAAAAACACTGAAATTTCATTCTTACTACAGATTTTAAATTCTCTACAGATTATATGCAGGAGCTCCAGGTGTTTGCAAGAAACTACATTGTACCGTGTACGCATCTGAGGCCTACAAGGACCTACGTGTACACATCCCAGACCTCTTATATTGAAACAAAGGATCTAGCATTACTCAGTTTTCTGCCTCTTTATAATGGCTCTAAATTAGCCTCTTTGGTGGGTCAGGTATGTTGCATAACATAAAAACACAACACTATATATAGGAAATGTACATTTAAAAAATAACTAATCATGTTATTAATGATTATACTTTTGTTTAAAAAATTAAGATATGAAAAGACTTTGAGTTGTCAAAATATTTTTAAGGGTCTGGTCCTAAAAGCATAGTAAGATGCACAGAATTCTTTATTTATCAAAAGTCAAATCTCAGAACCTCAGAAGCGTTCCTAACACTAGCAATTTCTAATATGTGAGAACAAGGTAACTTTGAAGATCTTTCATATTTTCAGAGTTTAAAATGATTGCTACCCCCATTTAGAAGTAAGAGGGGAAAACTGGAAGGAAGCCACATGCTCCATTAGCCAACCTCAGATCTTAATTCTTTGAGCATCTCTGTCTCCAGGTCCCACCTGAAGGATAATGTCCCTAATGCTAGCTTTGCTTTTGCAATCGGGTTCCACTTAGCTCGTTAGAGCTCACTCTGCGGCTTCAAGGAGTTTTGCAGTGTGGGTACCATTTGTAACCCCAGATGAATGTTATCAATAATTTCTCCAAATTACAGGGAATGCAGTCTGAACAGGTTGGATGATACGATTGATACAGAGTATTGAAAAGGCATCTGTTTGAGAATGATGGGTCCCACTCAGGCCAGTTAGTTTCAGCAAATCTCTAGAAATTTACATTGATTAAAATGTAAAAGGCTGTACTGGAAATCCTGGACAAGGCAGTAAGGCTAGAAAAAAAATAAGATGCGTATGATTGGAAAGAAAGTAATAAAAGTATCCTTGGTAACAGGTGACATGATTGCCTACATAGAAAATTCCAAATAATCTATTAAAAAAAAACAAAACTCCTAGAACTAGTGAGTTCAGCAAGGTCTGAGGATACAAGATCAGCACACACAGTTTAATCACATTTCTATATATTAACAATGAACAAAATGGAAACCAAAATTAAAAACAAAAACAATACCACTTATAATCACTGCAAAGGAAAAAAATACTTAGGTATAATTTTAACAAAATATGTAAAGTATATATATGCTGAAAATTAAAAGATGTTCATGAAAGAGATCAAAACCCTAAATAAATGGAGAGACATACCATGTTCATGAATGAGAGGACGCAAAATAGTAAAAATGGCAGTTCTTCCCAGACTCTGCTATAGGTTTAATGCAGTTTCTATCAGAAATCCCAACAAGTTTTTTGTAGACATAATCAAGCTTATTCTAAAAGTTCCAAGGCACAAGCCTTGAAATAGCTAAAACAATCTTGTAAAAGAAGACTAAGTAAGAGAAATCACTCTACTCAGTATAAAGATTTATTATGTGGCTACAGTAATCTAGACAGCGTGATGTCGGTGGAGGCACAGACACATAGACCAATGGAACAGAATGGAAAATCTAGAAACAGACCCATATAAATTTGCTCAATTGATTTTTTTAAAGGGACAAAAGTAATTCAGTGGAAGGAGGATAGTCTTTTCAGTGAAAATGCTGGAGCAATCAGGTATCAAATGAAAAGAGCCTCAACTTAAATCTCATGTCTTACACAAAAAATTAACTCAAAGCAGATCAAACCCTAAACATAAACTGTCAAACCACAAGACTTCAAAAAAAGAAAAGAAGGAAAATCTTTGGGACCAAGGGCTAAGCAGAGAGTTCTTAGACTTGATGGCATAAACATAAAATCCGTAAAAGGAAAGTTTGATAAATCGGACTTTATCAAAATTGTAAACTTTTGTTCTGCAAAAGACCATGTGAAGAGAATGAAAAGACAGGGTTTATAGTGGCAGAAAGACCTGCAAACAGCATGTCCGACAAAGCACTTCTGTCTATACTACTGTATACGGAGAACTCTTAAAACAGTTTAAAAAAATCCAATTAGAATGTGGAGAACGTGAGCAAAAGTTTCTCAGGAGAGTCTGCACCAATGGCGGATTAGCACACAAACAGACCCTCAACATCATTAGTCACTAGGGAGCCGCAAATTAAAACCCCGATGAGGCACCTACTAAAATTGCTAAAATATAGTAACAACACCAAGTGTCATCAAGGAGGCAGAGCAGCGGGACCCACTGTTGCTGGTGAGAAAGTAAAATGGCACAACCACTTTGGAGACCCATCTGGCAGTTTCTTATAAAACTAGACAAGCAGCTGCCAGGCCGCTCGGCACTTGTTCTCCTGGGCACTTATCCCAGAGAGAGAAAAACTCATGTTCCCACCAAAACTAGTGCCTGAATGTTCACAGCAGCTTTATTCGTGATACTCAAAATCTGTCCACAACCAGATGTCCTCTGACAGGTGGCTGGCGAGACAGATCGTGAAACAACCACGCCGTGGAATACTACTCAGCAAGAAAAACAGTTTCTGATACAAGCAACAACTTGGCTGAATCTTCAGATAATTAAGCTGAGTGGAAAAGCCCACCCCTGAAGGTTCCATACTGTACAATTCCATTTATATAACACCTTGAAATGCAAAATTCTAGAAATGGAGGGACAGATGAGGGGTCTCCGAGAGGAGGGTGGAGAAGGGGAGAGGTGGGTGTGTCTATAAAAGGGATGGCTACTGGGATGGAAATGTTCCCTGTCTTGGCCGGATCAGTGTCAAAATCCTGGCTATGACATTACATAGTTTTGTAAGATGTCCCCACTGGAGGAAAATGGGTAAATGATCTCTATATTATTTCTTACAACTGCATGTGAATCTACAATTACCAGCAGCGACCTCAGAATCTACAATTCTCTCAGAGTAAAAAGTTTACTATCAACAAAATTGAAGGCTTAGCTTAAATAAGGCACTTATGCTCTCTCTTGGGGGTTCCTAATGAAATGAAAACTGATCTGTGTGCTGAAACCGAGCAGAAAAGAACACATTTGTTTTCTTTAACCAGTAATGTGTGCATTGGTAGAAGAGCAAGAAGATTTCTTTAAAAGACTTCAAAATATATTCAATTTAATCTTGAATACAAATTAAGAAGAATTCGCAAACCTGCTGTAGAGGTGTTATGTGGGACCCTTACAAGGGGAGGGTAGCTCCCAGTTTCTGACAAACAATTTGAGTAAGCTAGCGGTGTACACGGCTATCCATATCTTTATGTAGTGATTCTCCACTGATGTTTATAGCAGAAAACAAAACAAAACAAAACAAAACCAAAACCCCCCCCTATATTTCTAGTAATCTTTCTCTAAATATTCTGGGAGAGAATTCTTTTGTTTCTGTGAATAAGCTGTCTCCTGACCCCCACTTTTTTATTTACCGTGATTGCACGTGTCCGTGATGTTGACAGAGAGTGTAATTTGATGTTACCTGTTGCACTTTGCCTTGTATATATATTGACTTGTTATAAAAGAGTTGTTTTTCGGTTGAAATGTATTTCTACAATCTTTCCAAAAAGTCTGTATTTCACTGTTAATCATTTAACCAGCAAACACCGTTCTGAAAATAAAAGTTCTCTAGAATAATTACTGATGCTTATTTGATTGCTTGTAACAAGTCAGTTGTTATAAAATTTGAATTGTAATGAAGCCGTGGTTTGCGCTTTGTAATGCATGCAGAGTGTAAAATCTATTTTCAAAACTAGGTGTGTCTGTTCAACCAAAGACTGTTTCACTCCTGATACGATTTCCATGCTCGATTAAAGAAATTTATAAGATTTCTACATAGTCCTTTCATGTAATTTTACAAGTTGACATTATTAGATTTGTAAAAAAAAAAAAAGAGAGATGCTATTACAGTAAATGAGCAGTTAAATTTCCAATAGAAAGAAAAGAACTCGCTGGGTGACTTTTGTGGATATGATTTGTTAAGGCCCTGAGTACAAGCAAGGCATTTAATTTGCAGTTTTTGAAAATGCTGATTGTGGCCGCACTTTCGTGCTCCCACTCCTGGGAGTGTTTGCCATTGCTGGCATAGTTGTGATTTGTGGAGTTCAGGGCTACACAAGAAGTTTTCTCTTGCTGATGTGGAGATGTGCCAAGGGGGCCACACAGAGACTGTGACAAAAAATGGCAGATGCCCACCACCCACGGGAGTGACCAGTCCTGCCACTTCCACAGACCACCCACCAACACTTCAGCTTCTCAGAGATCTTGTCTTAGGGACAAGCCAGACAGTGACAGTCAGCCCAAATTACTCAGGACTGAGGGTTCCTGGGACACAGGATTTTCAGTGGTAAAATCAGAAAGTCCAGGGCAAGCGGAGATGGGTTGGTAACCCGACCTCCACTCCACCCTGGCCCCAGGTCCTGAGCGGGTTCTCTTCAGAACCGGCCGCCTTGGAAACTGGGCGTTCAGACATTCCAGCCCCTCCTCCAACCTCACCCACCCTCCTCTCTGCCCTGCCTCCTGCTCCAGAGCGCCCAACTTCTCTGTCATCATCTGACTCACTCCCCCAAGAAGGTGACTGACAACGTGGTGGGACTCCGGTGGAGAACAAGGCCCAGCCCTCAGGAAGCTTATGTCTTGTAAATAAGAAGTAAACGAGCAGATTTGGAAGCCAGGTGAGCTGGCGATGCCTGTAGATTCTGCTCCATCTTGTCAGCCAGTATCCGCAGCATCCCCACTGTTTTCTGTCGGAACCACAGGGCCAGCCCCGCCCTGCAGAAATTCAGTGATCATCTCTGCAGCTGAATTTTTACAGAGAAAAGCCACGACCACAAGGATTGGTCCCACCTTAAATCAGGGGTCCTCATCCTCAACTGGGCCCTCCAGCTGCCCAGGGACCCCAGCGTGGTTCTCTCTCTAACTCTCTTGTAAGCGGCTCTTTCCAGACTCTCCAGCCCCTGGAGCTCACACCTTCCATCCCCTTACTCTCAGCCAAAAAAAAAAAAAAAAAAAAAGCTTCCTTGAGAACCTTGAAGACTTCAAATGAGCACTCCCCTCAGTTACAGAATTTTCTATGCCTCTGTTCCTCCTGCTCTCCTAACACTTGCCTGCTGGGTGACTTTCTGGCACTGCTGCCCAGATGCAGACGTGAGCAAGACTAGGCTTATAGGAGGTAGAAGCCAGTGCCACGGGGGAGGGGGCGGCAAGGGGGAGTTTAGGGTGTTTTTAGTAATTGCTAATGTTCACTATTTAAAACAGCCAAGACTAGGAAACAAACTAAATGTCCATTGACAGATGACTGGATGAAGGAGATGTGGAATATTTACACAATGGAATACCACGCAGCCATAAAAAAGAATAAATAATGTCATTTGCAGCAACATGGATTGACCTGGAGATCATCATGCTAAGTGAAGTAAACCAGAAAGAGAAAGAAAAATACTGTCTGATATCACTCATATGTGGTATCTTAAGAAAAAAGACACAAATGAACTTATTTACAAAACAGAAACAGATTCACAGACATTGAAAACAAACTTCTGGTTACCAAGAGGGAAAGGTGGAGGGAGGGGTAAATTAGGAGTTTGGGATTAGCAGCACATTACTATATATAAAACAAATAAACAACAAGGTCCTACTATATAGCATGGAACTATAGTTAATAGCTTGTAATAAGCTATAATGGAAAAGAATCTGAAAAAGAATATATATGCATGTATATATGTATAAAACCAAGTCACTATGCTGTACACCAGAGACTAACACAATATTGTAAGTCAACTATACTTCAATTTAAAAAAAAGTGTATGTGTGTGTGTATATATATATATATACATATACATATATATATATATAGTAAAAAATTTAAAACCTTCCCGGCTTCC